GCTGCTGCCCCGGGGAGGGTCCCCGGGGAGGTGGGAGCCCGGCGCTCCCCGCCCTCGGCAGGGCAGAGCAGAGCAGGACAGGGCAGGGCAGGGCAGGAGGGGCTTTCCTTTCCTTCCTTGCCGGGGTGTCCGAGCCCCGGCTAGGCTGGGACAGGAGCTGCTAGAGGGAAGCCGGTTCCGTGTGGGGGGACCGGGAGATCTCATAGGGGTGTTACATGTTCGTGGGCTTAGCTCTGGATTAAACACCTTTAAAAGGTTCTTTAGCTAAGCATGGGCTGTTGCAACTGAGGTTATCATCGCGCTGCCTTCCCACCCCAGCAGACGCGTCACTGAAAGGACTGGCTTGCGTTTGTTTGTTTTCCTCGCTCGCTCTGTGAGGAAATAATGGAGCGTGCCTAGAATATAGGCGTGTGTAGAAATAGGGCAGAAATTTTGATGATTAAGTTTTTGTTTGTTTGTTTTGAAACTATGGTTTGTTTGAAGAGACATCCTTTCAAAGGACCCTCCTCTCCATAACCTCTTCTGCTGTTTTTGGTGGAAAAAGGGGCGTGCCTGTGAAACTGGACCAAATTCTGACAGTTCTTTTTTTCATTTACATGCTTACATATTTTATGTTTGTGTTTGAATCGTGACATGTATATATCATGATAGCATCATATCTAGCATATATAATATGTACCTAATTATCCATTATATGTCTCATAGAATGTATTTTATCATAAGACAAAATGACTTAGTGGTGTACTACTCTTTTTTTGTTTATTTTAGGGTGTGTGTTGTTGTGTTTTTCTCGTTTCCTTTTTGGTAAACTGACACCAATGCCTGGCTCTGAGCCCTGATGTACACGAGCGGTGTGTGTTTGCTACCTAGGCTTCCCTGGGAATCACTGGGCCATCCTAGAGGATCTGCATGCTTAGGACAAGGCAGATGTCAGAACCAGTTTAACATCAGAATTAATATCTGTGTCCCTTTCCAGCCTATGCTGGAAATAAAGCTTTTTGTTAACTTCTGAAAATAAAACCACCTGTGACTGCTAAAACCTGTGTGAATCCTCAGGAAGAGACAGTGGGAGGGATGCTGGCACAGGCCAGCTCTGGGTGTTTTGGCCACAGTACTGATTTTGTTCTCTTCTTTAGGTGACATGGTGTTATAAATGCTGTTGTTTTCAGCAGTATTTTCTCACAGAGCTGAGAGCAGGAAGGAGAAACGCTAACATGAATACACTTGAATTAACTTCATTAATTTTAATGTGACTTCTAAATGTCATCTGTTCTTCAGTAACCTTTTTTTCTAAAGTGTTCTAACTGAGGTTAATGAGAAACAAAGCCCTTGCTTTCCCTCTCAAGTCTCTTTTAGTGAAAATAAAGTTAGAGCTGCACCATCTTTTTCTTGTTGGGTAGCTTTCTAGGATGCAGAGGGAAGACCAGGAGACTCTGAATGATCTTCTTTGACTTTGACATCAGTGTGATGTTGTATATGGTTCTTAGTTTAAATTAAGGTTTTCTGAAATTAGGAGAAATCTGGTGACATGTAAATCCATCAGGTAGGAGAGATCACTAAAGTTGTAGTAAGTGCATACTGTAATTATTTCTCATTTTTAATTCTGCTTCTAGATCCTCACTTATTTTACCTAAGTTAAGCGATGGAACCATACACTAAAGAAAAAAAATCGTCCTTGGGTCTTTGGTGTTCATGTTTGTGTGAAAGAATCTAGAATGTTCCAAGAAAAGGTGTCAGCCAATTGCTTAAATATGGTAACAACATCTACTGAAGATGGTGCTTTCCAAAAAAAAGGCCATAGTGCTCGAGTCCTTAGCCCAGAAGAAGCAGAAAAACTGGAAAAAGATAAGGTTTTGGTGTCTGAGTTCAAACAACTAAAACTGGAGAAAGAGGCACAGAAGAACTGGGATCTATTTTACAAAAGAAACAGCACCAATTTCTTCAAAGACAGACATTGGACAACCAGAGAGTTTCAAGAGTTAAAGGCATGTCGTGAGGTGAGATCCATACAATTCTGCTGTAAAAGATGGGATTGATTGTTTCCAGTCAGTTCTTTCCAGGGGAGTTAATAATACTTAGAACAAAGCCATTTGGGTAAGAGCTGACATACGTAGTTTGCAGTGCCCTGTGTATTTTCTTTTAATATCAAAGATGATTTCTCAGAATCAGATGCATCAGTTCAGTTTCAGTTTATAATTGGCCCTTACTGGATGGGGATGCTGTTCATAGAATCCTGCATGCTGAGAGTGAGGTCTGGAATATTTGGTTTTTGAGTCCTAAAGTAGACAGCTTGTCTCTCTGTGTGCAAGCTGGTGCACTTCAGTACACTGCTTTAAAGAAAAACATCCAGAATTGCAGGCTAATTGCTGAACACAGTTAAGGGGATAGCCAGATGCATCTGTTGTTCTTTATAGCTGAATCCAAGACAAGACAGAAATGGCACAAGTATGTTGATTACTTAAGGAGTAGATGACTGAAGAAATATTAATATGTTCTAAAATGATTTCTAATTTTGCAGAAATCAGGATGTCTGTGTTTAGTGTCAGATTATGCAGTGCCTGTCTACTTTGGTTTTTTTGAAGAATCATAATTAAAATTGATTATAGCTTTTAAAATGCTGGTTGAAGAGTGTCTCTGCTTATATGATGAGAAAACAAATGTTTTGTCTTGTATTGCTTCCTCCCTAGTTTGCAGATCAAAAACTGACCATTCTGGAAGCAGGCTGTGGGGTTGGGAACTGCTTGTTTCCACTCTTAGAAGAAGATCTGAATATTTTTGCATATGCCTGTGATTTCTCTCCTAGAGCTGTTGAGTATGTGAAGGTTGGTGTGACATTTGAAACTTCTTTCAGAGTGTTTTTTAGTAGCTTCTAAAATTCCAAATGACTGTAACAACAGACTTCTCTTGGCTTCTTTTTTGTAAGAAGGGTAGAATGTGCGTTGCCAAAAAAGTTGAGACTGATGCACTTCAGTGGAGATCCTATGTAAGAAGCCAAATCATTGCTCAAGACTTGGCTTTTCAGTGTCAAATTAGAGCATTGTTGTATATTACTTGAATGATTTATGAAGATAGTGTTTTTTGGGAGCACTACTATGTCTCTGCTGACTGTGCGGTAAAAGCAAAATTTGTTTGACATGGAATTTTGCCCTTAATAGAGGGAGTCCCAAGGAGAACCCTGAAAACAAGGCTGGGAAAATTATTGTTAAAGAAATTTGTGACCTGATTAGGAGTAGGTGTGTTTACACTTAGTAGTGGGTACTTCAGTCCAAAGTTGAGCCTTGCAGCAGGGCTGGTGGGAGCTTTGGGCTTTAAAAGTCTTTAATAAGTTTGTAATGACAGGTAAATTTCTATATATCTATAATTGAAAGCATTGTTACCAAGAACCACAAGACACAGACAGCATTTTTCATGGGGAGGATGGGAAGAAATACCTGTGGCAAACAGAAAAGGACAGCAGCTCCCTGGGATGTGGCTGCACTCCAAGATGAGGTTGGGCTGAGTGTGTATCCTGGGTTTTGGATGACTTAACAGCATCTGCCTCCACAGCTCTTTCTGAATTTCTTTTTTGCCAAGACCAGGTTGTTTTTTTTTCAGCAGCAAAACTGAGGGCTACAGCAGCCCAGCTGCAGGTTATGTGACAGGAACCCCAATTGTTTGCAGTCTACCTGTAGATCAAGAGCTTTACTTTCATCACCCTGTAATAAGTAATTTCTTTCAGTAGTATTTATGTTTTCTTTAAACAGTAGAAGCAGGAGTAAAACAGAAGTGGTATGTTTTCTGAATGGCCTTAATGCACTTTCCGTCTTAAATTAACGGGAACAGACTATTCCACTAGTTGTAGTTTCACTATTGTAGTTAGCAGCAAAGAATTTCTGATTGCAGTAGCCACCTGTTGGAAGTTAATATTCTCTTGTCACTGTGTTTTATGTCTCTCTACTGATGAATTTCACAAGATTTTTACTTTATTGTAGCAACAAATGCTGTTGATTTTCAGTGAAAGCTTGCTCTTTTAATTTCCCTAGAAAAATGCCTTATATAGTACTGAAAGATGTAAAGTGTTCCAGTGTGATCTTACCAAAGATGATCTTCTAGACAATATACCAGCAGATTCCGTGGATGTTGTCACACTTATATTTGTGCTTTCTGCCATTCATCCTGACAAAATGCATCTTGTCCTGAGGAACATTTACAAGGTAAAACCAGCTGAATTTACTGCCTTTAAACCACTTCTTTTTAGCTTGAAAGTACATTTTTTTTCTTTGAGAAAATCACTCTCTTGCAATGGTGATTTTTCATATTATATTCCATGGATGTATTTTGTTAGTTCACCAAGTATGCAGGACTAAAATATGTTTTATAATGTCCTTTTTTCTTTTTCTCCTGGTATTGTGAAATGGTTTGGATTGAGGCTTAATTCATGCCATCAGTGTAACAAAAAGATATATAAAATATGGCCTTCATGTACCTGAAAGTAGCCTACAGGAAAGATGGAGAGAGATTTTTACAAGAAAGAGCATGTACTTACAAGGAAAGGGGAAATGGATTCAAACTGAGAGTGGGTTTAGATTAGATAGTAGGAAGGAATTCTTTAGGGAGGTGCTGGCACAGGTTTTCCAGAGAAGTTGTGGATGCCCTACTCCTGGGAGTGTTCAAGGCCAGGCTAGATGGAGCTTTGTGTAAGCTGATCTGGTGGAAGTTGTCTCTGCCCATGGCAGGGGGATTGGAACCAGGTGATCTTTCAGGCCCCTTCCATCCCAGGCCACTCTATGGTTTTAAAGCTGTAACTTGGGTTAAATGCTATGAATGATGTTTATATATTGCAGAGATGTCTGTGTTCATAAGGTGTGAATGATAGTGAGCCAGAGTTAACTTCCAGAGATCCAGTGACCTGCAGTTAGGATGTTGCTGGTATTATTAAATGTATTTAACCTGTGGTGATTTAGAAGTGGAGGCTCAGAAGTCAACATTAATCTAGAGAGACTTAGCCCCCCAAAATGTCTTTGTCAGTTGATAGACTAGGATAGGCCCATCTAAAGGGTGGTTTAAACAACCTAAATTGTGATTGTTCTGAATTTCCCTGAGATGTCATGTATTGACTGCAGAGGAAAACAGTCAACGTATTTTTTTATTTTTGCATATGTGTGTATTAAGGGTCTTGTATTTTCTGATATTATTTGGCTTGTTATCAGTAGTTTAAAAAAGTAGTACTAGGGGGTTTTTGTATATCTCCACTTGTTTTCCAAAATCAGGATTGGTTCTTAGCTCATGTAAATATTTAGATATCTAAAATCAGCATGAGCAATGACCATGTATATAGAAACTTTAAACTCTTTATAGCTTGCTTCCTTTACAAAAAGCAATTAAAAAAAATCCATGATGCATTTTCCTAGAATGTTTTCTTACTTATTTCTCAACATATTGCAACATTCTTCTTTCTCCATGAAAAAAGAAGTGTCACGATATTCTAAATTTGATTGTTTACCATCAAACAAAATCAGATGCTAAACAGGATCAACAGAAAAAGTCAGGAATTTTTGTTAAACTGTATGTTTTCTTATTTTCTTTGTGTTTGAAGAGTGTTTCTAATTTAATTGATCAGCACCCAAACAGGTATTCTAAAACTAGTTGTACTCTTTTGTTCATGGGGAAACATTTTTAAGAGTCAATCCAGTTTTTACACAACTTTTTTGTTGCACAGAGAATGAATTATATCTTTATCTATCTATATCTACATCTATATATAGATGTAGATATATTTATCTCACTGTTGTATTGACTGTGTTAGTCTACCTTGTCTTAGTTACCTGTGTCTGTATGTGTACACAAATAAATATACCTATATATGACTAAATCTGTTTAGCTTATTAAAGCATGTGTGTATTATGTGACAGGTGTTAAAACCAGGCAAGTGTGTCCTGTTCCGAGACTATGGCCTGTACGATCATGCAATGCTCAGGTTTAAATCTGGCAGCAAACTTGGTGAAAACTTCTATGTCAGACAAGATGGGACAAGATCGTATTTTTTTACTGAAGGTAAGATATACTGTAGAGTGCTTTCATTTCTGTGAAGCTTCTGCTCCAGCTTTCTCCAGGGAACTGCCAACATGCCCATGGAAATTTTATTTTGTGTGGATGAACTGTTAAATTGTGGTTTATTTAATTTACCATCCTTTTTGGGAAGAAGCAGTTATTTAGACTGGCAGAACTTTGTGGAGCACTTTCTTGTTTACAAGCTTGTTGTATGTGCTGTAATTCTCCAAGAGCAGTAGTTTCTGAATTTGCTGCATTTCATTCAGATTTGTTACCTAAGGGGAAAAGACCTATGTTCAGTAAGAGGATTGATCATCTTCATGAAGCAAGTAAGCAGTTCTTTTGGCATCATTCTTTGTGCAGGGCTATTTCTGGTGAGCAGGATGAGGTCTATTGACTTCTAAAAGCAGAACCACAACTGCAGCACTGAGAAGCTTGTGTATAAATCTTGCTGGGATAGCACTGACTAGCTGTGGTCAGTCTGTCTTCTAGGGCTTGTTTTTTAGTGAAGACAATGCAAAAAAACCATTTCCATGTGATACAGTATTTAGTTTTTGTTCAGTGCTCATAATGGTTCGGGAGGAAGGGTGGTTACTGCAGTTTACTGGTGGAGAATTGAAGCACAGAGATACAAAGGAATTTGCTTAGACTCTCACAATGAATTTGGATTATAGCTTGGCTATAGCTTCTAACTCCCAGTTCCTCGTGCTAAACTCATTACTCCCCCCTATCACTTGTGGAGTGTTATGTAATAAGAGCTGTGAATTTATTTCTGTGGGGCTCTTTGTTCTTAGTCTAAAGCAAAATACAGCCACTGAAGAGATGAATTTGGAGCCAAGTAAATGTTATTCATATTTTATGCCATAACATATTACCTAATTGCTTCTGATTTATAAAAAACATTAATCTTGCCTGAGCTCCCCCTATTCTTCATAGGACAGTGATGAAATCTAAGATAATGCAGGCTGTGCTACAGCTTCACTGAAGCATTTCTAGAGCTGTTATTTATTGAGTGATGTTTAGTTCTATTTAAACAATTAGCTGTTAAAAAGAGAATGGAAGCTAAAGGGAACAAATAAGGGACTGACCTAGCAGTGGAATTTTAAATCTCATTTTTATTGTGTTTTAGAATAGTTTCTGAATAAGAGTTCCTTGCTACTATGCATGTTTCCCTTGGGAGAAGAATTGAGATAGGGACCAGGAAGAGGAAGGAAGGAGAAAAGAGAGAATTTTTTTTTATATTGCTTGTGTGAGCAATTGTTTTTCCATGGGCTGGTCTGTGACTGTCTCACAGATCACCTCTACTCCCATTCTTAGTCATTGTGATCTCGTTCATTTCGCAGATTTTCATATAGACATTTCTTAATGCTTGAGAATTCTTTTGTTACTGGAGACATGACTCCCATCATTTCCACAGAGGCTGGAACCCTTGCTATTTTTCATTTCTTTTGCACTACATTGGTACACCAAGTAATTGCTACATGGGGTGATTTGAATTATACTTAGTTATAATATGTCTGGCCTCGGATAACAACACAGAATTTCTCCCATAGGGAAGAAAATCCATTCTTCTACTACTTCTAATTCTACATAGTAGTACTTAGTAGTAGTAGTAGTAGTAGTAGTACTTCTACTACTAAATCTGTGGAGGAATGAATGGTTGTAGTTTTGTATTATGAAATACGTGCAACTTCCTTATAATAAGATTTCAGTAGGTCCACAATTGAGTGCTGCTTGTTTATATTTCATTGGTGTGGGTCCCCCATTTTACATGAACACACAGTGTTGACAGCCATGGTGGGCTTTGGTTGATAGAATCCTGCAGTGCCACCGAAGTGGGTGGTCTCATCTTCCTCAACATACTATCTCTAGTGGAGCTTCCTGTACCCACATGATCACAGTTTGATCAAGGTAATCCCCCTGGGCAGTGAAATATGGAATGTCTTTGCTTTCTATCAAGTAACACAAGTTTAGAACAGCTTAAATTTACTGTGAAGTTGCTGCCTGAGTAAGTGAATTGAGGTGCAGGAAAGGAAAAATGATGGTTTTTAATTAATATGACTAGTCAATAGCATGAGCAGACCTTTCTGCTGCACAGGTCACCCTGTTAGTGAAGTGCTTCTGCCTTCCTTAAGGGAGATATGCTTTGAGTAAAATTTTTTTGTTTATGGAGAATACTTTCAGTTCAGTTTAGTGGACTCTTGGTATCACCATATCCTCTTTGCCATTTTGTCAGTTTTTCTGTTGAGCAATTGCATTTACCATAGGGTGTTATTCTCCCCTGAGCAGAGGTGCATCTGCACAGCTGGATTACCTTTGAAATATTTATGGTAAGTGATGTCTTCAGTTAGTGAAGGTCAGCTACACAAAGGGAAAATGCACTGGTATCAGTCACAATGAGAATGACAAGGCTTAATAAAAATAAAAGATGTAGCAATTTTTGGAAATTCAACTGAGTAACTAGCTTAAGCCCCAGTTTTACAAGCTGTTTTGCTTAGGTTGATGTTTCCAAAGGAGATCTTTATTGATTTTTATTCAGCAGTCTGCCCACATAGAACAGCTTGAAATCTGAAGGCCTGCGTGATTTTCATGCTGTAACACATAAGAACATATGCTTATATAAATGCTGTCTGGTGTTTTAAAAATAGCTTAAACATAATATTTAATTTATTTTTTTTTTCCATTCTCTTCCAGAGTTCTTATTTCAGCTTTTCAAGGCTGAGGGATATGAGCAAGTGGTCAATGAATATGTGCAGCGAGAAACTGTGAATAGGAAAGAAGACTTGCGTGTTCCAAGAGTTTTTCTTCAAAGCAAATTTCAAAAGCCTTTCAGTGAGACAAGTTCTTGCTGATTAGCAACAGCATTGCTTGTTTGAAATGGAAGCTAGCACATCAGCTGTGTACTCATCTTTCTGGTGAACCAAAAATGACAGCACCCAGTATCTCTTGTTGGTTTCCTTCTTAGGATACAAAATATGAATGCTATTTTAATTCAATTTAATATTTAATTCCATTTTAAGACAGTTTAGTGATGCAGGCAGCCTGTTGAGCATCTGTATTCCTGGTTCTAAAATAAAACCTGTGCAACATTGTTGGAGGATGAGGTAAAGCATAAAAGTAAACTTCCATTTTTATTAAAAACTATTTTAAAATAAGTCTCCTGTATTTCCTGTCACTTGTGATTTTTGAGGCTTGTTAAATTTACGATATTTCACTTACTTGCAGTGCTTTTAGGACTTCTGAGTGTACTTCCTCAGATACAGAAATGAAACAGACTCAGTGAGCAGTGTAGTGTAAGCTGCCTTAATATTTTAATAATGGTATCTTTTTAATATGCTCAGCATTTAGATGTGTAAACAAATGTTTATATTCTAAGTAAGATCCTAATTTATCTGATTTCATGCTTGAAAAAGCATGTTTGTGGATCAGGTTGTATTTATCCCTAATTAATTTAAGATGTTCTTAATTAAATGTGCAGAAATATTTGGAAGTTTTGCAAGCCAGTTTCCTTTTTGAAACTGAAATCAGCAAGTCAGGAGTATTTTCTTTGATATGAAGTGTAGTCATCTGCTTCTTTCCTGGGCAGAGGACTTAATTCTTTTCTGCTGCAGACATAACTGCTTGAAGGAACTTCATCTTTTCCTTACAGCTCTTTGCACTGTGGCACTTTGCACTGCAGGACCTTTTCTGTGTTTTTGGATGATGTAGTTTCAAAATCATGCCTGTGGTCTTTAACCTGCATTTTGAACTGCTGCATTGTCGCAGAGGAAGCCCAGAAGTGTCCTGTGACTTGTGCAATAGCCTGCGTTGATCCTGTATAACGTACACAATTTGCAACAGGGGAAATTCCAGTGAAATACTAAGGGAAGACCAAATACTGGGCCAAGGCCCAGAGAAGTTGTGGAGCTTGCATTCTTGAGAATACTTGGAATAAGACTGGCCAAGGCCTTGAGCATCCTGTGACTTTGAGGGGGCCCTGTTCTGAGTAGGGATTCCATCTCTGGCTGTATATATGAGAATGTGATTGCTTGACTCAAGCTGTCATTCCACTGGACTTGTGTGCTGTTAGATGACCCAGTCATGCACATCTGATGTTGACCAGAGGTGACTTTTTTCCTCTCTTTATGACATAAGATATAATAATTTTTTTTTTCCAGGCTCTTAACAGTGAGTGTATGTGCATGAAACGAAAGAAATAATAATTTTCCGGCCTGAAGCCTAATGTTACAAAATTAACCAGTCAATTTTTTAAAAAAAATTGGAGCTGCCAAAGGTCTTATTCAGTTGATATGGTTAGAAATAAATTTGCAACAGAACACAAGTCTTTGACCTCAGAGGAAAAAATGCCTAAATCACTCACAATTCTCCTAATGACTTTTTGAGGAGGGTTATTACATGTCATCTCCTTTTTTTATGGAGAGTATTATCCCAGAGATTTATGCATTGCTGGCCCCTGCTGTGCAACCCATTAGCTCTTTCTGCCATGCTAGTAATAAATATCTAGTAACATTTATAGTAAATGAAAAGCTGTGCTGAAAATGGATATAACAATGACAGCACTATTCTAATCTGAGCTATCATTATTTGCTGGCTTTCATCAGCACATGTTCATCTTTAGCACAGCAGTTTTCCAATGACTACATGTAGTCAGAGCTCTGTTGATATTTAGTGGTGTTTGCAGCCTGTAAATCCAAGTGCCTTTCAGGACTGGAGGCTTGGTCCTTTTGGAGTATACAGTTTATAAATGAGACTGAAGGAATGCCTTGCCTTATCATAGTGCTTTGTGTTTGTCATCATATGCAAAAGCAAGTGGAATGAACTGTTCATCCCGAAAAAGAAATGTGAAGTAGGCAAGAATAAAAAATATTAATCAGAAGTCAGCCCAATAGACTTAGCTTCAGACTGCCACTGAGTTCCATTTTACACTGAACTATTGCCAGAACAATAATACATGTTTTTGTGTGTGTCTACAGCTTCATTATTTCTGTGTACACTTTATTGTGTAGCAGCATGTTAAATGGAGAGCAGTATTTCTGACTTTTTTATTATATCTTACTCAGTCTCATTTGCAGTCAGACCTTCAAAATAAAGTAGCATGCATTAATGCCACTGCCAGAAAGATCTTCTGCTATAGTTCTCATAAAGCAGATGTTATTTGGAGATGAATGGCAGAAAGGTTAATTTGGTTTCTATGACTCTGCTTCTGCAGACTTTAAATCATGGCAATTTTTTGTAACTGTGGTAGAGTTTGAGGAAGTTGAGTCAGCTTTAAGAAATCCTTGCCTCATCATGTGAGACACAGTAACTGATGGGTTGCATGTGGTTGTTGTAGTGCTGAGTAAAGTGGATCTACTCCCCCCAGCTCTTCAGCCTGCCCAAGCTCAAGTAAGCTCAGCAGCAGCACAGGCCAACAATACCTGTGCCTTGTATCCTCACCTGAAGGAACTGCAGTGATAGGATAAGGAGTTACTGGTTCAGACTGAAAGAGGGGCAACTTAGGTTAGATAAGTGGATATAAGAGATATTAGGAAGAAATTCTTTACTGTGAGGGTAGTGAGGCACTGGAACAGGTTGCCCAGAGGAGCTTGGGATGTCTCATCCCATCTCATCCTCACCCCTGGCAGTGTTCAAGGCCAGGCTGGATAGAGAGACTCTGAACAACCATGGCAGGGGGATTGGAATTAGATGATCTTTAAAGTCCTTTACAACCCAAACTATTCTGTGTAGAACTGTCCTTAGGGAGATGTAGTCATCAGGGATAATGGTCTTAAAATTACTTGAAAAAAGCATATATGCACTGAATCATGCTCACCTTGCACGAGCAAGCTACTATGCTGTGATTGAAATAAATGTCCTCATTGTTCTTTGATTTAAGCTGTCTGCAATCAATGAAGGGTGCTGAGCTGACTGGATTGTCTGTAGAAGACCTGCTTTTTGTTCCCCTTAAGATGAACTAGCTGCTGTATCTGGCAAGCATAAGTAGTAAGTTCCTTTATGCCAACACCCTGTTCTGAGCAATATTTAGGATAGAGGAAAATAATTGTTGAAGTAATGGGACTGAAAAAACACAATTTTTTTAAAATGATTTGGTGCCCTATGTTTACATTTTCTGATGTTTAATAAAGTATGAACTTGGATTAAGGCTTTTCCTGAAGTCTGGGAATCCTAAATGCCACTTTTCAGTGGGGGATTTTCTGATGTCTCCTCCTGGAATTGGACAGCATGTATTAAGGAATGATGTTAATGAGCAGTGCTTCAGTGAGGACATGGGTAAGGTCTGACTGTCAAATAGTTTTATCAAATTTACAGAAGTATGAAGTCTTTGAATTATCTGACATTGTGTGTTTTTTCTGTCCAAGGATGGCTTCTGTCAAATTTGGTTGATATTGTCTGATGTCTGACAACAAGCTATGACTGGACAGAAATCCACACAAGAATTGTTTCTGTACTATATGGATGGGTGAGCTTTCTTTCCTTAGAAATATACACTACTGAGAAAAAAGCACTTGAACTTTAAGGTGATAGTATTACAGCAGGTTTTATGTGGTTCATTTGGTAGCTAAAAAGCTATTTCAGGTGTATCTTTCAGGTACCTGAAATCTCCTTGGGTTCCAAAGGCAGAATATTTAAGTAATACAATACTAGAGCCATGGTTGATTGTGCATCACTTCTATGAAACCAGCTGCTATAAAAGTGGGACCTGAAACTCCAGCAGCTGTAAGCATCAGCAGTCAACTGTAAAACATACAGCCTTGGTCTCCTAGGAGAAAACTGGTATATAAAATCAAAAAAGGTCACTTATATGCTACACACATATTTGGAGAGGATATCAGTGTTGAGAATTAGTGTGTGAAGGAAAAATGGTGAGATTATGTTTAAGTTTCTGGGGAAAAAAAAATACCTGTGTTTCATAGACCAGGGATGACATAATTAAATAAGCTGTTCATTTGAAAAGTGAAATTTTAGAAATGGAAGCCTGCAGGTTCCAAAACTAGACTGATGTTCCAGGGAGGCAGAAAGGTGGCATCTGATAGTTTGTGGTATTAGTAATACATACAGGACTCTGTGGGAAGCAGAATTTTATATTGGAAAGATATTGCTGAGATACAATTAGTGAAAATAGGTAAGTATTTTTTAAGGAGTTTTACCTTACCATAATGTAGCTGTGATGAATTTTTCACTGGTTATGATTGCTATTAGGAAAGACTGTGAGCCATTTCAAACATTTGCTAGTTATACATGCTGCAAAAACATTTGACCCTTGGGTGCAGTAGGCTCAGGATATGAGTATGTTTGTGCTCTGTGTTTGTAATGTGAGTTCATTTATTAGAGCAAAGGCAGATGGTGTGCCTGCACTGTGGGAGGCACACAGAGGCATTGCTTGCAAAGATAGAAGCTATTAGCCAGGTAAGATGTTCCATTAGAGAATCTTTTTCATTCCCACTTCCTAGGCTCATGTGCACCATTCACTGTGTTTGCAGCAGGGTGCCATGAAATCAGGGAAGACAAGGGCACAAGAAAAAGACTACATGATTCTTCCAAATGAATTGTGATTTTGTGTATTTCTACTTACATGATTCTGTTTGTGACCATTTACCCTCTTTCCCAGCAAATTTTAGGTCTCATCTTTGGAAAATTTGATTGCTTTTGAAGGTCTTTCCCAATGACATAGGCTTAACTTATCTGCTTGAAAAATATATGATGTGAAACATTTAGAAAGGCAGCTGCGTGACTGAAAATACAAATCCAGCTCTGTTTTCCTCCTTTGACTTGTAAGAAGCTTTATACTTCACTGTCACTTCAGTGCCTTTTCACAGTTCCCACTTTGAGGTGCTCTACTGTCTTAAGTTAGATGGCACCAATCACCTGCATCTCTGGTTTCTGATGCCTGTAGCATCCAGAGAACTTAGAATGGAAATAACTGAGGGTAGTTACAGAGAAAAGTCAGAAAGCAGCCAAGCTACAAGTAGACAAGCCTAACTACTGTCTAGGCTCCACTCTGTATTTTTCCACAGCCCATTTCTCTGGACCCTTGGATTGCTGTGGTAAACTTGGTAGAGTAGAGAAGCTGCTGTTCAATGGGATAATGATATTTTCATACATACAGGATTGTTGTGCATCTGAAATTTAGGGATATTCATGTGTTTTTTGGGGGTTTTTTGCCCCCCAAATTTGGCTTCAAACTTTTCTGTGAAATTGGACACTTTAATTGGATTTTTTATCATTTAATAAAAGCCCCTTTCATTAAAATGTAGCAGACCTGTTGCTATTTTGCTAAAACCAAAGTGTTCAAAAGCAGGATGGAAGAAGATGACTAGGGGGGAAAGGAGGCTTGTTTTCCTTACAAAACCAAGAAATGTTCTGTTCTATTTATTTTATTTGCAAACCAAAATTCATAGGAACATGAAAATAGTTTGAAGAAGCCTCAAAACCATTGCCACCATTTTTTCAGAACTACCTTCAGAAAGTTAGTTCTGAAATCTTGTACAACTTCATAAACTTGGCTGCGACCATCTGGGTGAAGTCTCTAATCACAGATCTCACATTCAGAATTTGAGGGTGCTTGGTTGTGTCCTTTAGGATCTGGCCTCAGGG